AATTTATATGCTTCTTGGACCAATAGGGCAGAGGTGGCAATGGCTCATAGGCATTGGGGCCACCCACTGGTTACTCTGTCAAGTTGTTTGGAGAGACAGGCCACAGATCTATTCCAGTACCCCAGGCTCTGGACTAGTGCCCCCACTGCTGTCTTGTGCTTTTTGGAGAAATAGAGGATGAAGGGCTTCTAGAGGTCTGAAAGTTCATTCATTTTTTTTTTTTTTTTTGGTACCAGGGATCAAACTTGGGTCCTTGCACTTGCGAGGTAGGCGGTCAAACCACTGAGCTAAATCCCCAGCCCAAGTCCATTCATTTTTGAGTTGAGTGAAACCTGACAGTTGCTCAGGGCCCCAGACTTCAGGTTCTTTAATGCTGTCCTTTGTGGCTTCATAAAGGTGCTTTTTGATAACAGCAAAGTTTGGGATCCAAAGGTGACAGAATCCTAGCACTCCCAGGAAATCTCAGACCTGTCTTTGGGTCTTAGGCACTTCAATGGCTTGGATTGTTCCCTTTCATTCCATTCCCTTGGTTGAGGTGAAATCTTAGGTACTTCACATGTTGACAGAGTTGAGACTTTTTTCTTGATACCCTGTAGCTACATTTGAAGAGGTGTTCTAATAGGAGGTCAGTGCCCTTTAGGCAGCTGTCTGGTGCTCATGTGCCACAAGAAGGGCATACTGAAGCAGGGTGCAGTCTTATCTTTGGGCAGGAAAAGCTTGTAGATCTTGGGAAGAGCTTCTCTGAAGATGGTAGGGGAGTTTTTGAACCCCTGGGGCAAATGAGTCCAGGTATATTGAATTTTTGTCCCTGTTTGTGGGTCACTCCACTGGAAGACAAAGAAGTTTTGGCTCACAGGGGCCAATCATATGCAGAAGAAAGCATTCTTTATGTCTAGGCAGCTAAATCAGGCTGCTGATGCTGGCAGGAAGCTGAGTAGAGAATAGAGGTTAGGTTTGGAGAGATGAAGTGTGACTGTGGCTTAACAGCCTGTAGTTCTTGAACTGGTTGGTAGTCTAGAGTCTCTGGCTTATGTACTGGGACCAATGGAGTGTTCCAAGCTGACTGGCAGGGCACAAGTATTCTGGTTTTGGCAAGCCTCACAGGTATTGTTGGATTCCTTCTAAAGCCTCCCATGGGATAGAGTGCTGTTTAACTCTCACAGGTTGCACTCCAGGTCATATCTTGATTTGGGCTGAGGGGCAATATACAGCCAATCCAGGGGAATTTTCTTCAGCTCCAACACCAGGGCATCTGTCAGTCAGCTAAGGTATAGACCTCCTTCTGCCTTTGTCAAGAATAGCCTCTATTCCTCTTCTCAGGGTACTGTGAGGGCAAGCACCAAGGAGAGAGGGGGCAATTGGTGCCTTAGCTGGCCATCCTCTTCAAAGGTAATAGTTTCTTGCAGCTTGCTAAGTAGATCTCACCCCAGCAAGGGAATAGGACAGGGAGGCATGTGCAGGAACTGGTGGGTGACCTCACGTCCCCTGATACTGCACCTTCAGGGTTGTAAAGCTTGTTGGGTGAGGGTGCCCATGGCTCACAGTATAGTGACTTTCTTCCATGTGGTAGGGGCAACCTGCTATTTCACCACTGAATGCTCTGCCCTCAGAGTGTCCACCAAAAAGTTCATCATTTGGCCCCCTACCTTTATTTGGACCATGGGGTCTCTAGGGGCCATGAAGTCTGGTCTGTTTGTCTGAAGAGTTCCAAGATGGCCAGGTTGAATAGGTCTAGTTTCAAGTCCTGTGGTGGGGCCTTCTTTGTGGATTGCCCTTCTGATATGAGCACTCATTTTTCCAGTGGCCTCTCAGCAGTTTGCAAACTGATCCCACCTTACTAGGATCTTTTTTTCTCCTTTTCCTTGTGTTCCCTTTTTACTTCCTTTTTTTTTCTTTGCCTTGGGGAGTCTTGACCTGTGTTTGGGTAAGGGCTGCTGCAATCAGGTCAGCCTTCTTTTTCATCTTCCATTTGGGTTCCCTTTTCTCCTTGAGTACTCAGTTTACAAAGACCTTGTTGGTGACTTCTGGTAACTGAGTGGAATTTATTCTAGTGAAACACTCGAATTTCTGTAGCTTTTGATGGATGTTGTCTGTGCTGTGGCTGACAAAGGTGGTGTTCACCATCCCTTGGTTCTCTAGGCTCTTGGAATCAAAATGGGTATAGACTCAGTAGGCTTCACAGATAAGTTTGTAGAATGTACTTGGGCTCTCACTGGGTTTTTGTAGTGAGAGAGGAAGCCAACCCCCTCTGCCCCCACCCCTGCTGTAAAAGACACTCAATAGTCATGACTACAGCTATGCTGTAAGTTCACCAGAGCATAACAGTCTTGGAAAGTCCTGCCAGAACTTCCCACATCCCCCTTAACTGCTTCTATGTTTGTGTAATCATGCTTGAGCAACTGGCTGTTTCCATGAGCAACCTCAGCTGCTGTTTCCCCTCTAATTAGCAAAAGCCCATGGAAACAAAAAGGTATAAAAATAAAAGCAAAGCCCTGCTCTATGCTCTCTAGGGCACAGAAGTCCCTTGCTGAGCTGCTGGCTACTAAAGTCAATTTGCTCCTATTCTGTGTTCAAGTGCTTTGTCCGGGTATCTCACCTTTTCTAATGCTTCAATAGTATCTCTATTACCTTGCTGATGTTTGTTGCCTTTTGGGCCCCTCCCTGCACTCTCTGCACCAACACGTCTTGTACACCATAAGCCTATTCATTCCCTCTTCTACATTTGGGTCCCATTTTGGGTCTTCATTAGGAAGACAGCTCTGGGCATAAGTCTGGGAGTTCATCTCTCCTGCTGTGGCTGTCTCTTCAAACCAACTAGTGGCCACCTGGAAGATTCATCTATGCTTGTCAGTATTAAAAAGAGTGAGGTGTAGTTGTCAACAGTCAGCCCATGTGGGGTTGTGGGTCTGGAAGATGGACTGCATGGAGTCAATCAGTGCCTGCAGCTTTTTGGTGTAGCGAGGGGTGTGAGTTTCCGATTTAGGAGGTCAGTGGTTGTGAAGGGTTGATAGATGAAGGTGTAGTGTCCCTCAGGAGACTTCCATTAGCCTCAACCATGCTGGGCCCTTACATCTCCTGGAGGGGCATTTGGACAGCATTTAGGGTGCTTGAAGCTGGAGGGACATACAAGTCATTGAGAGGTGGCAACACAACCTCCCATGGGGGAGTATGAAGAGCAGTGGAAGTGGTAGAGTTTGATGAAGGGTGTTCCTCAGCAGCAGGCTGGGGTCCCAGTTTAGAGGTGGCAGAGGAAGATGTGGAGGCATGGGGAAGGGGGTGTTAGCTCCTTAGGAATTCCCTGGAGAATGGGTAGTATCTTGAGCTCATGAGAGACAGAAAGCGTTGTTTCCCTTTTGCGTGGCTCTGTCCTAGAGACCAGAACCCTAGTAACTGGCCCTCTCAACTAGGGGGTGGGGTTGGTGACTAGTCATAACCAGGAGTCAAAGTAGGGAAACTGGTTAGGATGACTGGGGTCCCCAGTGACTGTCATCCACACCTGCCAAAAGGAGGCCTTGTCTAATGAACTGTCAGGTGGCCAATACCCCCAAAGGAGAGCCAATTGATCTACCAGATGCTGTGGAGCTATCCTGGGATCAACTTAACAACACAATCCTCAGAGAACCCTTTCTTGAAGTTTCTTAACATACATTCTAGGGGTATCAGCTTGTTCTGAGTCCCATCCATTTCCTCCCCCTATCAGATGCAGGCCCAATGAAGGGAGGGAGTAGAGGGAGGGTATAATGGGAGAGGTCATACATTCACTTCCTCCATCTCCTGCTGCTCTCTTTGTGGAGATATTTCAGTCACTTCTTAACATTGACAGACCAGTGATCCTGACTTTTATTATCCTGACCCCTGGGGTCCAATATTGCCCTAAGCAAGACATATGTGGTCACTGTGGAACCCCAGATCAGGACTCTGCACTCACTTTGGCCCTTTGGTCAGGTCAGAACCTTTCTGCTACTTATCTCATTCACATACAGCACACAGCTTTCTTCAGCCTGCCACCCACTTTCAGGCTCTATCTCAGGCCAGCCATTTCCCCACCCCAAGGCAAATATTTGGGCAGAGGCTGGGAGGTGATCAGTCTCCCCTTCCATCTTACTGGCATGTCCTAGTTTTGACTAGTCCCCAAAATGTCCTACTGCAATTCAGACATCCTGGGGCAGTTGTTCCTCTCCTCAGCTTCTGGCCATGGTGATCAGAGGAACAGGAAGGAGTCCTGCCATTAAGGCTCATCCACACAGTGGGCAAGTCACTGGTGCCTTAAGCAGACCCACGTCCAGGGCAGGCCAGATCTCCCACTCACTGTGGCCAGGGGCAGCAAATGATGCATTACTGGTTTCACTGGCAGTCCCTGGTGTCCCCTTCCTAGTCAATGCACCAGAAATGTTGCAGGAATTCTGCCAAGAAAGAGCAATGCTGAGCTGAGAAGTCCAGGAAAAATTGCTTATTCATTGTGAGGAGACTTAGGGGACTAGCGTCCAGAAACTGAGCTCCCCTGACCTGGGGTGGTTCAGGGTTTTTGAAGGGCTCACACAAGGTATGGGTCATCATGTGATTGGTTGTGTGAGACCAAAACAACTCCATTTTGCTAAAATCCACCATTCCCCTAGCCTCTCAAATTAATGGTTAAAATGTGTTTGCTCTGGGACAGAAGATACAATCTGTAACAAACCAAAGTTCCTAAGTTAATTACTCAGCCATCTGTTTGCCCAGGAAATAAACGTTCCGGGCCCCCTATCCATACAACAATCTGTAGATGTGCTGACTGTCAGTACGTAATGGTCGTGACTAACAGTCAGTGTGTCTGCTGACCATCAGTATGTGACAGTCGACCACCAACCTTTGCCCCTCATTTCCCTCGTAAAACCTACATGTAACCGCCCCTCAGCCCCCCCGCCATGCACCTGGCCAATCAAAAATGTACACTTCATGCTTGCTAATTGTCAACCAATCATGTAACTGCTAAATAAAAAATCTCCAAACCTTGCTGTAACCTCTATAAAAACCCCGCTAATTTAAAATTCTGGGCTCTCAATTCTGATCAGCTGCTTCGGTGACGATTGGGAGCCCCTGCTCGAGCTTGAATAAACGACCCTCGTGCGTTTGCATCGGAATCAGCTCCTTGGTGGTCTTTGGGGACTTCGCGATCTGGCCACAACAGTTGGAAAGCAGAAGGTGGGCTTACAGAAGCCAAGGGTGAGAAACAGGCAGCTAGCTGTGCTTGCTGGGGCTTTTCCACTGGGTTGGTTTTGATTTCTGTTTGGTAGGTGGGTTTCCTCAGACTTCCTGCCCCAGTAACACACATCTTTTAGAGAAGATGGATCAGGACTAATTGTGAGGAATGAAGGAGCCTTACATCAAAAGATTTGTTTTTACTATCATTGTTATCTTGTGACTGCCTATGGAGAGCAGGATGGCTTTAACCTAATTCTGGGGGTTAAGGGTTTTCATATTCTTTGTTGCAAATGGGTGACTACTATATTTTGCACACTAAAATTCTTGACCTTTCTTCTTTCCATCAAGGTCAGTTTTAAATAGTCTTATTTTTGAGACAGGATCTTGCTATGTAGTTCAGGTTGACCTTGAATTTCTTATGTATGCCAGCTAGAACTTTCCAATCCTCCTACCTCAGCCTTCTGAGTGCTGGAATTACAGGATTATGCCACCACTCCCAGATTTTTTGTTGATGTTGTATCTGAGGTATTGGGGATGGAAAGCAGGAACTCTTTCCTGCTAGGTAAGTGCCCAATCCCTGAGCTACAATTTCAGGCCTAGCTTTGAATATGCCAACTCATGTTTGTTAGGTTTATGAAATCAGTCTTTTTTGGTCAATTAATTTATTGATTCAGACTATTGTTACTCAAGGTCTTGTCTCTCCTAATTTTTTTTTATTTGTTCACATGAATAAAAAAGACATGAATGGGATATATGCTTGTATTTTTCCAAACAGCAAAGTGACTAACACGTGGGGAGCTAAGGTAAAGGATAGGCCACCTTAGAAATCCCTAACTCCCAAGTATGCTGTGACTGACAGGAAAACAGCTCATTACCTCTCTTTTGTTTTTCCAAAGTCCTTTTACAAGCTTAGATTCTGATTGGGATTCACATTTGTCAATGGCCTGTTAGAGAGGAAATGGTGCTCCCTGGAGCTGTGCTACCAGGAGGTGGAGGAGGGCCTCCTTGAGGCTTTGTAGGCTAAAACCTCCCCTGCCTTGCTTTACTCTGTCTGCAGCTATTAAGACCCTTTCCCAGGCCAGGGATTTAGCTCAGTGGTTTTGCCGCCTGCTGCGCAAACGCAAGGACCCGAGTTCGATCCCCAGTACCAAAAACAAAATAAAGACTCTTTCCCTTTTGAATATAGTGATATTGTGATCATCCCAGGAAGGTGCTAATTGCCACAGGATTAAAAAGAGGCAGTTGTCAGGCTGTTTGTCCCCAGCCTTGGCTCTTCCCTCTCCTGTCTCCCTTTCTCTACCCACAGAACATTTTTAGGTCACTGCCCTTTCCCAGAGCCAGAGCACAGTGTTCATGCATATATTGAAGTCCTTTTTTCCATATATGCAGAGATCAGCAGAGAGACTTACAGTGCACAAGTGGAAGACATGAGGACTGCTCATCAGCAAGGCCTGCTGAGGTGTGTATTGGGTTCAGGCTGCTGCTGGAAGGGCTGTTTTGTGGAGATTACATGTTTAAGATCAGTATCCACTCTTAGGACATCAGAGAGTGACTCAGGGCTGAATAGGACCAGCCTCCAGTATTCACATACATCTCAACTGTAGACCTTGGGGTGAGGCGCAGAAATCAAGCAAGGCTCTTTCACAGAAAATTCCAAAGTGTTATGGCTTGTGTGTAGATGTTCCCCTCAAAGCCTCATGTGGTCATAAGTGGGTTTTTTTTTTCAGAGGTGGCTGGATCTATAGTGTGTGATGCTGGAATCGAATCATGGTCCAATGCTAGACTCAAGGGCACTAGGATTAAGTGTGTGAGTGCTACTGGTCCTAAGTAGTCTAGATAAGATAAAAGGAGCAGAAAAGTGCTGTTAAGGTCCTTTGTTGTCTTTTGTTACCTTGTGGGCACCTTAAACTGTTTCTCTTCTGTAATGCCCCTCTGCCCAGCCACCCGGCCTTGGAGCCAGCCAATTACAGACGAAAACCTCTACAAACTGTGGAGCTAAATAAACCTTTCCCCCTTTAACTTTGGGTATTTTTGTCTCAGCAAGGAAAGAAAGTAACGAAGACAACAAGTATTCATCTAATTTCAGGTTATAGTAGATTAAACAATTCTATTATTTACAGCATAGAAAATAAGAAGGGATAATAATATGGAGAAAATAATTCCGAACCTGTCAGATGTCAGATATGCTGAATTCATGTTCTTACAACATTGAGGAATGAAGTTGCAAACCGAAGGAGGAAATAAGGAGAGTTTTATTGGAAATAAAAGAATAGCTTCTGGATTTCCAGGAGGGGTTCTGAGTGGGTGGCCACTGAAGCTTTTCGGCAAGAGTATTTTGTACAGCAAAATCACCTTGTGGGTACCACATGGGTCAAACTACAACCAAACTATAGAATTGTAAATATAGCCATTTCATAATACTGATCCTATGGAAACAAGTTACATAGCAAGAGAATATGGAAAGAATAAAGGCATTCCTGGAAGGGCATTCCAGATGTTCTGGTCACTCACCTATGAATCTGATGTCTATCTGGGCTCACTGGACCCAATAGTGTTAATTACAGTTTAATGTCAAGTTTCTGTTTATTTCAGGGAGGCTTGCAGGCCTAGCTATGTCTCCATCTTGAGGCTGGCCCTCTTCAGATTTGTCTCAGCCACAATTTTGATGTGTCTTCCTCTTCTGCACTGGTTTGCTTGAGGGCTCAATCCCTCTCTTGATTACCTATTAATTTGTATCTAACTTAGCTGTCTATAATATTGGCTTTCCCAGTAGGGATACTATGGCTCTTACACTATGTGTAATCATGGTTTAATCTTCACAGTCCCAGGATGGAGTTTCAGTACACTTCTGTCTTCCCCTTCATGGATGGATGAGGCATTGTAGGAAGATGCAAGGCAGCAGGAGAACATGCCACATGCCATATGCACTTGGATCATTGGCTTGTGAGGCAAGGTCTTTCAGGTCTGGAAAAGAACCCAGAGAATGTATAAAAGACATTGTAGCAGTCTTGGCTTAAATGGATAAAATAAAAATGTTTGCATGGGGGCTCATAAAGGTCCTCTTCTACCTTGGCCTTCTCATTAGGCTCTGCCCCTCAGGCCCTACTACAAGGCTGACAGGGTGGGTGGGAGGCCAGGGTCTGAGAACAGCACCTCCTTGGATGGGGACCTCACAGCTGCACTCCAAGGAGGAAGGAGCCTGCTGGGAGCCCCGCTCAAGAAAGGTGTGACTTCTTTTCTTCCTCTGTCTTCTATTTCTTTAATTTTCATTAGTACATGGTTTTAGTACATAATGATTACATTAATTGTGAAGATTAGGTACATAAATAACACATCCTAATTCTCTTTACTTGTTGTAGAACACTTATGTAACATGCAAGAGGCCAGGATTCCTCCCCTAGTGTTGAAATAAATAAACAAACAAACAAATAAATAAATAAATATCATTTCTTTGCAGCCAGAAACATCTGGATTTTTGTGGAACATGGAGAGTTTACAAAGAATGACTATATTGTTTTTTATAGGCTAACAAAGAAACAGCCCTTTAGCCTTTTAGCTCATCAGCAGATCGAGGTGGCCTGTCAGAGTTCTCATCCCTAGTGTACCATGAATAGAACAGCTCGCGGTCATCTTGAGATAAAATAGAAGAAATAAAATCTAGTTAGAAAGGAGACAAGAAAATTAAGATTTTAACTGTAGCTTCAAGACACAAAAGCTATTCAAGCCTTTTTCCCTTTCAGGAAACTAAAAAAAAATTCCTGTAGGTCCTTTTACAAGCCTGTAAATCCTATCTCAATTTGATAAAAAGTTGGCTCAACTTTCCCCCAGATTAATCCTAACAATATTTATTTGACTGGGAACATCTTATTAAATAAGAGGAAGTAGCCACCCTAAAAGCCATGATCATTCACTAGAGCATATCAAGAATGCTGGGTCTGGCTCTTCCTCACTGAGACATGATGCTATCCTTATCCACAATGGTTGCCAAACTATTTGTAAAACTCCCAATCCATCAGTAAACAAAAATTTGTTCCCCATTCAGCAATGAAGACACAATTAAGTGTGCACAAACTGGGTTCTATATAGATACTTTTACAGGTATGCATAAGATTAATAGACATAAACGGTGGAGTAAAACCTAACAGCAGAATACAACCTCTCCAAGACCTGGAATCAAGAACCTGGAAAACAATAACTTGGTGAAGAAAAAAAGAAGGCAATCTCTGATAATCAGAAGGGAGCTGACAGGAAAAGTAGAAACCACATAGAAGCTGGAGAAGGAAGTATAACCAAGAGAAAAGAATGAAACAGACTAAAAAACTGACCCTGGTTCTGAGGGAAGGGAACCATACCCAGTAGGAAAGGGAGGGCAGGATTCAGCATTCACACACAAAATCATGAGTGTGGAGACAAAATAGATCTGAGCAGTTACTCCCTGCCCCTTCTCGTGTCTGCTGTATTCCAGTATTGCAGACCCTGAACAGAAATCATGTGATCTCTCCACAATATGGAGAGATAATTTTGGATCTATTTCTCTTTTTCTTGTTAGTTTTTTGGAGATGTAGGGCTTTTTTCTTTCTATTTACTCAACCCCTGACTTTCTTCATTTTGCTTTTTGTTATTTTTTTCTTTCTTTGTTTGTTATTTTCTGTTACTTTTATCTAATTCTGTTAATTTTCTTTTACTCCTTAATAGGATCCATTATCTCACTTTTTTCTCCTTCTTATCTTCCTTTTATTTTTCAAAATTTACTTCTTCCACTTTCATTCCCCACCCCAATATCTTTACTAATATTACTATTTTTATTAATCTTTACATATTTAGTTGTTTCTATGCTACTATTGTTGAATTCCCTTCTATTGTTAATGATGGGGCTGGAGATTTAGCTCAGTGGTGCTTCCACCTGCCTTCCAAGTGCAAGGTCCTGAGTTACTAATAATAGTGTTGTGTTAGATAGTGTATGTCAATATTTGGGTTGCCTTTCACTCTATGTTATAATTACAGATCTCTTTTCTATTGTTAAGACCCATAGAATGATACCTTTTATTGATTCCCATGGTATCTCAATATCCAGTTTTATTTTGACTCTATTATTGTTGGTTATTTCATTTCTATTGCCAGGGTGACAGTTGTTGCTATTAATTTGTCTTTATTCTATGCCAATATCTGGTTTGCCCTGAGACACCAGCAATACTGTGATTCATTCCTGGAGAACTGGGTGCTAAGCCAATTGCACTGCACCTCCCCTCCCCAAATTAATGGAGGTGGTTGGATATTGGGACAGAGGCAAAAGTCTATAGTTAGTCAAACCGGAGTGCATCACTGAAAAGCAGACACTAACTGAAAAGTTCTCCATACTAGCAAGAATCTGTTCATTATAACAGACCTGCAGTCCTCAGCACATGCACACACAAAATAGAAACATGAGAGTGGTGATGCATGTCTGTAATCCCAGCCTGCAGCTGAGGCAGGAGGATTGAAAGTTTGAGCCCAGCCTGGGCAACTTAGCAAGACCCTGTCTCCAAAAACAAAACAAAATAGAAAAAGAAAAAAGAACAGAAAGAAATCGGAAAGACATCCCCTGCTCCTGAATAGGCAGAATCAATATAGTCAAAATGGTCATATAGTACTTCCAAACTGATACATAGATTTAATGCAATCCCAATCAAAATACCAACAGCACCTTATAGAACTAAATAAAACCATCCTAAAATTCATACAGTACCACATGCAGAAGATTTAATCTAGACCCGTATTTCTCACTATATACTAAACTGAAAGCAAAATTGATCAAACATCTAAATATTACAACAGAAACAATCTGTTAGAAGATAAAACAGGTAAAACTCTTGAAGACAAGCACAAGCAAAGACATTTTGAATAGAACCCCAATTACACAATAAATAACATCAAGAATCAACAAATAGAATTATATTAAAAACTTCTGCACAGCAAAGGAAACACCCAACAGAGTGAAGAGGCAATCTACAGAATGGGAGAACATTTTTGCCAGCTACTCCTCAGACTGGGAAATAATTTCTAGGATATATAAAGAACTCTAAAAATTTAACCCCCCCAAAATAAAGACCCAATAAAAATGGGCAATTAAATTGAATTGATACTTCTCCGAAGAGGAAGTACAAATGGTCAATAAATATATGAAAAAATGTTCAACATCGCTGGCCATTAGAAAAATGCAAATTAAAACAATACTGAGATTCCATCTTACTCCAGAAAGAATGGCTACCATCAAGAAATTAAATCAGAACAAGTGCTGGTGAGGCACAATAGGCCTCAGCTGAGCTCTGAATCTGCAATGCTTGCTGTGTGCCAGAATAGCTGAATAGGAATTTCTGAGGTGGTGGGGCCTAACAGGGATCTTGTATAAAGTATAAAGTGGTGATGACTATGTGACACTTCCAACCACACAGGCATGTCACCATTTCCAATAAAGCATAGAACAGTGAAAACTGACACATAAGGATACAGACAAGTGGAGGCAGCAGAGACTGTCCACACCTGTTCACAGATGGGCTGCAACCCAGGTCAGGCTCACTTCACTACCACCTCCACTTACCATTTCCCCTTGGGAGGTGTATTCCAGGATGGTACAACTCTCAAACAGAGACCACAATGTCAGGGCCATGCTAACAATCGCTCACATCTGATAAGAAGCTATTCAGGTGAGAAAACGGTCAGTCTACTGCATCAGTGTTGACCTTCTCCTGGGAGAAGGAAGCAGGTTGCCAACAGGGGAATAGTCAGTCCTTCTTGGCAAGTGCTTCCTGTGGCACTTCAAGTCCCAACTCCACTATTTTAGGCTGCTTTGTGAATTTGGTTGGACTGAGTCAGTCCCTCAAGCAGGAGTCTCAAAATGGAGTTAGAAACAGCATGGCGCATCCCTCCAAAGGAGCCTGAGTTCACCCCTTGAACTTGGAAAATATTAGAACTTTCACCATTCTTACATAAAAAGATAAAAATACTTTATTAATGTTTATTGTGTATATCTACAAAATCAATGATTTTGTGACCCACTGTTATTTTTATGTTGCACAAAAAAAAAAACTGCTACTGATGGATGATTTATTACTGTGACCTAGGACTTAAATAGTTATCAATGTTCACTTTTAGATTTTAGACATAGCCGTGATCTTCATCATATCTATTAGTCTTATGCCTACATGAACAGGAAAATGTAAGTGAAGCCAAGTCTGTGCATGCTCAGCATGGCAACTGTATTTCCATTGTGGAATGAGAAACACGCTCAAATTATTTATTTTTCTTTTAGTCATGGCGATTTTGGAGATCACTCTGCAGAAATACAGCATTGTGTCTCCATGTGAAGGCCAAATCAGCATTCCTGAAAGTTCCCAATCTGCAGACATACCTGGATGCCCCTGGGAACCAGCTGGCTTCCTCACACTCAGCGAAGCTAGCCCACACACTTGACCGCTCTCATGGAGGGTATCCCAGGAGGGCCAGACACAGATCACAGCTGACTTATGCTGGGACACGTAAGGGCCATTCTCATAGCATCCCACAGGCCATACAGTGGGTGTGGCCCACAGATGTTTGTTTGCCTGTTGGTTGGTTCCCCACACACACACACACCCCATCCCACCCCCGTACTGGGGATCCAACTCAGACCTTCCATTTGCAAGGCAGGCAGGGTGCCACTGAGCTAAATTCATTTTTTCTTTTTTTGACAGAAATGTCTTTTTAAAATTGAGCTTGCAGCAGTGCAGTTAAAGCTTACCTGGCCCCACCTCATATTCTCATATTCATGTTACCTGGCTATCCCTTGCGCTCCCTATTTTACTGTTATTATATAGATTCTAAATTTTAAAGTATTAAATTGGTCTCCCCCTCCTTCTATTTTCCTTTTCTGATGCTGGAGATTGAACCTTAGGCCTTGAGCATGCTAAGTATGCACTCCAACACTGAGCTTCATCTCTAGCCCTAGAGTATTCAATTGGTTCATTTCCTTCCCTCTCTCCCTCCCTCCTTTCCTGTTCATTCTTTTTGTGATGCTGCAAATTAAACACAGGACACTCCACATTCAAGGGAAGTACTCTACCATTGAGTTATAGCCCCGGCCCTTAAATTGGTTCTTGATGCTAATCAAAATGTATTTTTGATTCCCTGAGGCCATAAGTAGAAGCAGTCATTCTCTTGGTCTAAAGAAGAGAGCCTGGGCTAGTTTAAGGCCTGAGGAAAAGCCCTGCCAGCTGGAAACTTTCCATTCATGGACTTGAAGAACAACCCTGGGAATTCCTTGACCCGAAGGTTCCGAGTGTGTGTTGGGGGGTGTTTCCTGAGTTTTGCAATCCTTCCCATCTATAAATGTCTTTTCAAACTATTATAAAGTTTTTCATTCCATCTCCCATATCCTCTAAAATTATCATGATTCCATTAAAAGATTTAAAACATTTTCTTATCTTTTTCTGTGCTGTTGGATTTAGTTCATGGCCAAATTTTCAATATTTCTCAATAACAATATCAAAATACCTTCATTCTTTTCATACTGAGAACTATTGTTTTAGGAGGGACACAAGAATGTCACAACAGTTCATTTACCATCTGTAGAAGTTAACTTCTCTGAGCCTCAGTTTCCTCAAATATGAAAGGTACAACCTACTTACTTCATAGCCTACCCAGGAGCTGACTGGGTTAGTGGGTAAGGAGTGCCTCAGTTGAGTGGAGAGCTCACAGATACAGCAATCATCATAGTCACCCTAATGTCATGAGCACTACCAGCACAGCCCTCACCACTATCACTGCAGCGTTAAGCAAGACCAATTGATCAAAGACCACAATGGTGTTATTGTCCTATCTGTACCCAACAAACTACTCTGAAAGAAGATATATTGTTTTGTACAGATTTGATGAATAGAAGTCACACTTTCAGAGGCCATTTGTCACTGTCCATGGCAGACAGACAACAGTCCAAGCCTTGGGTATGTCCAAGTAGCATGTAAATAGTGATCAGATATCCTGGAACCTATAGGCCTTTGCACTGGAGCCTGGAAATGAGTCCACCTAGCCGCTTCCCCACATTCCCACTGGGTTTGTGTGGCGAACAACTGCAGGTGGAAACTGATGTGCCTCTGAGACACAGGCTTCACCTGCAACTCTGATGCCTATCCCCAAAATCTGTGTCCTCTGATCTTGGGGTCACAGAAGAAGTGGCTGGTGAACTGGAGGCATAAGCCCAGCAAAAGCATAACTGATAGATGAGAAGGAGTTCTGGGGAAATATCTGCACTATGGGAAGAGAGAAGTGGAGAGAGAGGTGCCATGGAATAATTTTGCTTTATGGGCATCAAGCAGAGTGAGCTGGGAGGAAATGGGAAGGTAGGTGAAGAGCTGAGCATTCACTGATGTGCTCCTTCATTCATGGCTCCACCAAGAGCAAAGGTGGAAGACAGAATGTGGAACTAAAGGGCTTTGGCCCCACTGGCAGTTCCCTTGCAGTCCTGTGGCTGCCTGAGGACAGAGGGCCTGGCAGTGGAGTTGAAAGGCTATGCATCATTAAGGGTTCCCCTCCCCTGCTGGAGGCCTCCAGAGCTGACAGGTGAGGGAGGGGCAAGAAAGTGGCCAGAGGTTTGGCGTCCTTGAGTGTTGTCTGGACTCACTGCACAACCAAGCCACCAAGGGATGACACAGGCAGATTCGGGGACTTGGGCTGAAGGGTGGTGCCTTCCCTGAGTGTGCCCACCACTGCTGAGAAGGAGAGGAGGGAAGGCCTAGGATTCGGAACTGAAATGCAGTGCTGCCTGACTCTGCAGGGACATCACCACTGATTCACTCAGCCAGCTTGACTCCCATGGTGAACTCTGCTTACCAGCTGGTCAGCTCCTGAAACTGGCTCACTGTCAAGGACGTTTAAGGACAGTCAAACCCAGTAATCTGGATGTTTAAAAAACTTGAAATTTTAAAATAATAATTCACTACCCGATTCACAAAGCTCGTGACCTTCTTAAATGATGACTCCACCAAGTCTGCTCCTTTCGAGGTCCCTGACACATAGGATGCCATACAAGGCGCAGTGGGCCGGAGTGAGCGGAGCGCAGTAGGGTCTTCTTACCACAGCTGCCGTGCGTCTGGCTAGGCAGGCAGTGCAGAGCCCCAAACACACACCTGCAGAGGTGGCAGCTGCGAACGGTCCAGGCTCCGTGCCCCAGGGCGCCGCAGTCGCTGCGGAGAGGGGAGCGCATCAGTCCCGTGATCGGAGACCGCCCCGCACCCCCGCACGCCCTCACCCACCTGCGCCTCTGGTCATGCTCGCAGTAGCGGCCGGTGAAGTGCGCGGGGCACACGCAGAAGCTGCCCAGCACGCAGGTGCCACCGTTCCTGCAGCAGCGCGGTGGCGGCGCACCTGTGGGGTCACCTGGCGTCACCGCGATTGCCTCTGCCTGGAGAGGACAGGACGCGACCACCAGGAAAGCAACAAAACCAACTCCCTGCTGAGCATGTGTGCTCGGGTAAACTCTGCTTGTTAATTCAGGGATTAAAAACAAACTACTGAGGGCTATGGTGGTCAGGAGAGGCCGGAGTACAATCTGCAAGTTGGATTCTCTCTCCCTCTTCCTTTCACATGTTAAAGTCTGGCTGTGGCTCCCTGGGACAGTGATTAAAGACAGGCCTCCCAGTCGGGACCACCAACAGGCGCGACGTCAGCCAGCCCCCCGCCTGGGGACCTGGAACCCTTCTCTGTGTAAGCCGAGTCAGGGTTTAGCGAATGCAATGCTTTACGAATTAAATAGCAAGACTTTTAAAAGAATAAACACCTCACTAGGATTTTTTTTTAATTTTGAAGTGATTTATGAAGATGATGAGATGTTCCCTTTTGATTTCTCATTCTATCCGTAACTTATCCCATTTTTTTTTCTTCTTTTTTCCAGATTTTAAACTCAGTGTCCACTAACCAGAATCACCCAAAGGTTTCTCTGTTGGCAAGGAGACTTACGCTCTGCGTAGACCCTGGAATGGAGAGGAGATGGCTGAGGCCTCCAGCTCTCATCGCTTCCATTGCCCCCCCTGAAATTATTCGGGGTCCTAGGGAGAGTAGTCGGCTGGAGCTTTGGAGCTGCGACGTTGCTGACTTCTCTGCCACCTTTATGTTTCTCTCCATGATAGCCTTTCAAAAATATTAGATATGAGGCTGATAATGATCGAGAAAGATGTTTTATGCAATTACCATTGAGACTATGAACAAAATGCTTCTTACTGTTTCCCAAGTGGATGATCTGTAATGCCAAACATACTAGACACAGCAGCCTAGAATATTTAAGAAAATTATTAAAGTTTGAAAGCAGAAATTTAAAATGTAATGCAATGATTATATATAAATATATAACTAAAATATCTAATAATATAATAAAATGCAATCATTTTGGAACTTAAATTTGGCTAATGTTGTCATAGTTTAGAAAGATTTAGAGCTGAAAGTGAATTCTTCCTCTAGTAGAAGCAGTGGCACATACACTGCAGTTTATTCTGAGAGCTTTAACCCTGTTTTGACTCCAAGATCTGGATGATTTCTCTTACCTGACATGGTGCCTCCAGGTCATTTTCTCACTGACCAGTCTGGTTGGTATGAGCGTCTCCTTCCTTCATCAGTACAATGAAAACCAATTTCCAAGGAGGTTGAGTCTGGACAGTTTTTATACTGGAAGGTATCTGCATTCCACTCTTTGGAACAACTGCATCAGGACACAGAGTGGGTTAGTATGGGAGACACAGGCACTTACTTCCTGTGCTTCAGCCAAGAAAAACAGCCATGAGACCTTTCAGTTCTCCTATGGAAACCCGTTAGGAGCTCTTGCTGTGGCATCAAGGAGCCTGAAGGACTGTCCCTCAATGAATCATGGCTGAGGAGGGGGTGGAGACACAGGCTGATCTACCCCCACTGGCAACTTGGCCCCAGCAGTATTTACAGTGCTGATAGCAGCAGGGGTGGCCAATCCCTGATGTAAAACATTGATGACCAAGGGAGCAAGGTTTTTACCTCAGTGAAAAACAAAGTAATTAAAATCCAACACAAACAGAAAAGCTTTCATAGGAAAATGGAGATTTTTCTAATGTATACTTCTTGTCCTCAAGATAGTGAGGCAGCCCAGTGAAAGGAGCTGGACATCACTAGCAACCTGGGTTACAGAAGGTGTAAATGTGGAGCAGGAGGTGAAGGGCATGGGTTAGGGGGATTTCCACTCCTGCTTTCTCAGAGGCATCCTTCCCGCTACAGATAAGCAAAGTGACCTGCAGCACTTACCTGTGGGAGGCACAAGAAAGGTGAGGAAACTGAGGCTTTGCAATGTTAAGCCCTTGGCGTTGAGATCTTTGAAAAACATGAAGTGCATAAATATGTATGAGAAGCCCATAGAGTATGATATACAAAACCTGTTGCACATAGCAGTCCCTGCTCACTACCTGACACCAATCAGAGTGACTTCCAGCACTGTCTCAGTTTTTCTAATTACCAAACTCAAGACTGGGGCCCTTTTATCAGTATTAGAGAACACCTTGCAACTCACTATGGCAAATTGGATTTTAATAGAACTGATTTCTAAAAAATAATATGCTTTCATAAAAGATTGAATAACTTTTGACACTGATTTGATTTCTTATGCCTTTAAATGTGAGGTTTATTAGAGACCATCAAAGTAGCAAGGTACTGTAAAGCCTAGTTAGCACAAGGTCTCCTGATGCAGGGTTCCGTAAGCTTCCAAGATCAAGTCGAGACTGGCAGACCTCCAGGGTGCAAAACTCACAGAAGATGGCACCTCAGGACTTCAGCAAACATCTCCAGGTGCAGCTATGAAAGTTTCATTTTTAAGTTGAATGGTTATTATTGGTTTATAACATAAAGCTATATACAAAAAATAAATATATTTTATGACTTTAAATTAATAGAAATTTCTATATGAACTAAATGGTGTATATTAAAATAAAACCATGTGTAAACTTCAAGGGTTGTATTTCTTTGTATAAAAAATTTTTAAATTTGTTTAAAGAATGTTACAGAAACAAAAGCTTTCTGGTAGTAGTAAAGTTTTAGATGGGTCACCTAAAATCGAATTCCTCACAATTTCTTAAATTTTTTATATTGGACATTTCCAAACATACACAAAAGTTGGGAGGATTTAGTAAACTCAGGTTCACCGTGTAAGTATTAACCTTTGACATTCTTATTTCCTCTCAAGCTTAATGTCTTGAGTTTTTAAGAGTTCATTCCAGATTTTTGGTACTGGGTATCAAACCTAGAGCCTATACATGCCAGGCCAATTCTCTTCCACCAAGCTATAGCCCCTACCTCTCAAATGGGGTTTTGTTTTGTTTTGTTTTGTTGGTACCGGGGATCGAACTCGGGTCCTTGTGCTTGCAAGGCAGGCAGTGGAACCACTAAGCTAAATCCCCAGCCCAAAATATATATA